GGGGGGGGGGCCCTGGGGGTCTGGTGCTTACCTGAGCGTGCTCCCCTCCCTGCAGGCGCAGCGGCGGGCGCAGAGGGGGCCGAAGCGGCCGGGGGGGCAGAGCCGGTCCTGGCAGCCGGGCCCCGCGAAGCCGGCGCCGCACAGGCAGGCGCCGTTGCCGTGGTGACAGCGGGCGCCGTTCAGGCAGGCGCACTTATTGGCGCACTGCGGGCCGTAGGAGCCCGCCGGGCAGCGGTCCTGGCAGCTGGGTCAGAGGGACAGAACCAGGTCAGAACCGGGTCAGAACCAGGTTCCAGCTCCAGATTACAGCTTTAAGCTCCTGTTTCTGATGAGTCCTGACTCTGTTTTTCTTCCATCTAACTGCCTAAAATGACACAAACGGCTCCATTTAATTAGCTTTTTCTGGATCAAACATCAACATCTGAGCCTCTGATCAAACTAGAGTCCAGAGAACTCAGAGTTCTGCTGTTTTTCCTCCAGAATGAGGCTTCATTTCTTGTAAATGAGCTCTGTTCCAGCATCCAGAAATGAAGGAAACTTTGAGCTGATGTGCTGAAACCAGTCGACTAAAAGCTGGAACTCAGAGCTGTGGATAATTTTAGACTTCCTGCTTTCAGAAGTGGAAACGTGTTCAGGAGCTGGAAACAGGTTGATTTCAGAGCAAAAACAGACTCAGTTTAACCTGAGAGGACAAAATGAGGCTTAAAGTGTCTCACTGTTCAGTTTGATGAACAATCCTATGAGAACAGGAGCTGATTTTACACTAAAATGATGGAAAGATCTCAGTTTTTACAACAAAAAATGAAATATTCTGCATCAATAATTTGGGAATAAGATAAATTACTTAAAGAACTTAAAATAAATCATAATATCTCGAATAAATCACGAATATCTGAACTGCTTTGCAAGAGGGGGAGACAGACTGGGAAACGGAGAGGGGAAAAAAACAGCTCTGATTTCCACTAAATGAGCTCTGTTCCAGCAGATGTTACAGACAGAGGTGGAAACATGTGTTCAGGAGCTGAAGTAGCTTCACTGAGAAGCAGAAACTCAACATTTGAGATCGTTTTAGACTTTCTGTTGAGTCAAACAGACCTGAGAGGACAAAACAGGCATTTTAGAAATAATTATCTTAAAACTGAAAGTTAGTTTTACACAAAATTAATAAAAACTTATTCATTTTCCTGCAAAAAATGTTTAGTTATATTCACAAAAAATGTTGGGAATCAGATCCATTTCTAAAATAAATCAAAATAACTATTTCCAATTTAAACTTTGAATTTCTAGTTAGTGGTATTCCATCTAGCTGTGGGGTTCCCCCACATGGAGCTTTCTCAAAGGGGGTTCTGGCTCCCAGGCTTCCAGATCTGCTCCGCCCATCCTGACGCCCCCCCGCTGTGGCCGTACCTCTCTCCCAGGTAGCCCGGCGTGCACTGGCACTGCCCGCTGATGTGGTCGCACAGGCCACCGTTTCCACACGTGCACTCCTGCGAGCAGTTGATGCCGAACCATCCGAAGGGGCAGGGCTGAGCGCACACCGGACCCTGAGGGAGGGAGTCAGAACCAGGGGAGGATCACGATTTCGTCATTACTCAGAGACACACAAGCTGCTTTTAACCTGTTGGATCTGTGTGTTTTAACAAGTGCCACATGAAAAACAGGTAATAACCCGCATAAATACCTGATATTCTGCACAACAACCTGATATTCCTGCATAATAACCTGATGTTCTGCATTATAACCTGATGTTCTGCATAATAACATGATATTACTGCATAATAACCAGATATTCTGCATAATAACCTGATATTCCTGCATAAAAACTGATATTCTGCATAATAACCTGATATTCTGCACAACAACCTGATATTCCTGAATAATAACCTGATATTACTGCATAATAACCAGATATTCTGCATAATAACCTGTTATTATACATAATAACTTGCTATTCGTGCATAATAACCTGATATTCCTGAATAATAACCTAATATTCTGCATAATAACATGATTATGTTGCATAAATACCCGATATTCCAGCATAATAACCTGATATTCCTACATAATAAGATTATATTCCTGCATGATAACCTGATATTCTTGAAAAACAACATGATATTCCTGCATAATAAATTTATATTCTGCATAATCCACAATATGATGGTGCTGCTTGCATATTGGACAGCGTGTGTCTGTGTGAGTGCGTGTGTTTGTTTGTCTGTTTGTGTGTGCGTGTATCTGTGTGTGTGTCTGTGTCT